GAAGGCCCTCAGGGCGCTGTCGGTGAGCTTCACGTGGAACACGGACACCCGGTTGCCGTCTCCCAGCCGCCCGCACGACAGTCCGTAGCTCCGAGCCTCCTTCAGCGCCGCCATCTTGCGACCATCGCTCCCCCGCCCCCCGTCCCGGCTTCGGCGCCGACGCGCGGCCACGCCCCGCCCGCCGCCCGCTGACGCGCTGCATTATTCATGAGACGCGGAGGGTGACCCTAGCGCGTGAGGCCCCAGGAGTCTCCACTGCCCCGCCCCGACGTGCTGCATATTCATGAAGTCAAGGTTGGCCCACCTCTCAAGGACTTCGGAGCTGCGCCCGGACTCCGCCCCGACACGCGCTTCCCCTCCAGATTACGCCTCTCTATTAATTATTCATGATGCTGACTCAGCCAGGCGGCCGGGGCCCCGCCCACCTACCTCTGACGTAATGCATTATTTATGAAGTTCCTTCCTCCCTCCGTCATTGCCTTCGGTTGGGAGTTGCTGTGGGGAAGCGCGGAGGGGGCGTAGCCTGCGCGCTGCACGTGGGGGGCGGAGTCAGTGGCTGGCCTGGCGGGTGGGTGTGGATATGCAAAGCTGGCGCGCGTAGGACTCTGGGTTGGGTCGCTCGTACTTTCCCTTAAGGTGGGCAGAGGGAAGACGGTAAAGTTCGTCCAGTTCAGGAATGCACTTGGCATAGAGTAAAATCTTACAGTCCATGGGCCCTGAGAGAGGATGGAGTGCAATAAACAACTTGATAGAGCTATATTTTTATATAAAATTTACCATCCAAGTGCATGGTATTCAATGAATTTTTGTAACTTTACTACAACTTTTCCATAATCGCTTTTAGAATATTTCCCTCCTCCCATTTAATAAATCCCCGTCTCCCGTGCCCCGGCCTTTGGTAGTCACTAATCTACTTTCTGTCTCTCTGGATTTAATTATTCGTGACTTTTCATATACATGGAATCATAAAATACTTGTCCTTTTGTGACTGGCTTCCTTCACTGAACATGATTTTGTTTTCTTGTTTTTAATAATACTTGTAATGAGCGATGACAATTCACATACCATAAAATTCACCCTTTAAAATATGTATTTCAGTGGTTATTACGTCCACAAAGTCGTATTATCACCACCACCATCAATTCTAGAGCATTTTCATCACCCCAAAAGTGAATCCTGCACCTATTACGCAATAACTCTCCACTCTTTCCTACCCCCACTAACTAAACCCTCGGATGAGTTGATTCTGTCTCAGGATGACCCCATGTGTTACAGAGTAGAACTGCTCCCTAGGGTTTTCTTAGCTGTAATTTTCACAGATTACCAGGCCTTTCTACTAGTGCTGCTGGGTGAGACTGAAATGCCAATCTTTTTTAGGTGAGTACCCCTGGAGTCAACTCTGACTCATAGCAACCCTGTAGTAGGACTACCCCAAGGGTTTTCAAAGCTGTAAATTTGTATGGAAGCAGACTGCTACATAATTATTTCTCCCAAGGAGTTGCTGGTGAGTTCTTAACTGAAATGTACACTAGAACAGGCAAATGTATTGAGACCAAGGGAAGACGGGACACTGAGCTTCTGTTAGGGGTGATGGAAAATCTTGGAAACAGTGCAGCTTTCTTTGATTTTGGATCATATGGTTTCCATCTCTAGAAGTTCCATTTGCCTCCCTTTCCTACTTCAGTTTTCTCCTCGTGCTCTTCCTGTTTTTGGATTTTACAATAGCTGTTTTAAAGTCCTTATCTGTTAATTCTGTCCCCTGTGATATTTCTGGCTATTAATAATTTCACTCCTGGTTTTGATTTTATGTTTAATAATGTTTGAAGAAGTACTGGTGATGCAGTGGTTAAGCACTCAGCTGCTAACCAGAAGGTCGGCAGTTTAAACCCACCAGCCGCTCCAAGGGAGAACGCCTTGATTGTTGGGGTAGTTCTACTCTGTCCTACAGGGTCTCTATGAGTTGAAATTGACTCAGAGAAAATGGTTTTGGCTTTTATGAGCTTGACCTTAGGAAAGGCACCACCCGAGTCTCTGCAGATTTACCTGGGAAATAGATTATAGTCGTATCAACCTGCATTGGGCACTTACGACAAATCAGGCTCTGTGATAAGTGCTTAGACCAATTACTCTTGGGGTAGATACAGTGGGTTGGACCCATTTGCCATATGAGGAGACTGAGGCTTAGAGAAATTCAAAGAACTAGGAACACTGTAACCATGCAAGAGCTTCTTGGCAACAAGCAATTCTCCATTTTACACTGGATTTCCCAGAGTCCTAACAGAAGACTCAGCAGGCACTTGCACACTCTCCCAGAGTCTCCAGAACTAGGCTCCCTGAGGAGTTGGAAGCCAGTTTATCACCTTGGGGTGGCCCTTCCACATGTGCTGTATCATGCAGCTCTTGCTCTAAGATGGGAGCAGTGACCTTGCCCTGCTACTCGCCCCTTATATGGCCTTGGCTGTGTCTTGCCCTTTCTGGGCTTCAGTTTGCTCATCCATAAAATGGGGATAAGTAACAGTACCTACTTGAGAACCTGGCCCTCAATCACGGCAGATGACATCATCATGCCTAGTAGGCTGAAGCCGTCTCTTATTGTAGTTCTGATTTCCAGCTCTCTAAAGACTGATGGAGCTCTGGTGGCCCAGTGGTTAAAGCACTTGCCCACTAACCAAAAGTTCGGTTGTTCACACCCACCAGCCACTCCAGAGGAGAAAGATGTGGCAATTTGCTTCCATAAAGATTTACAGCCTTGAAAACCCTATAGGCAGTTCTAGTCTGTCCCACAGGGTCACTATGAATCAGAATTGACTTGATGGCAGTGGGTTTGATTGTTTGGTTTGGGAATGACTGATGAAAAGGACCTATGGTGACACAGGGGTTAAGGGCTCAGCTGCTGAGAGGTCATTCATCCAAACCCACTAGGTGTTCTACAGGAGAGAGGTGTGTGGTAGCTTGCTTCCATAAAGATTTACATCTTGGAAACCCTATTAGCAGTTCTACTCTGCCCTATAGGATCGCTATGAGTCCAAATCGAGAGCAACAAGTTTGTTTTTTTTTTTTCTTTCCAAATGGCTGATGATACTAAGCATCTTTTGAGTGGGCTTTTTGTTGTTCAGTTGTAAGAGTTCTTATACATTCAGGATATTGAACCCTTAGTAGACAGATACAGCTAATGGATGACTAGATGATTTGAGGACAGATGGAAGGAGGGAGGTATGGATGGATGGAGAGATGGCGGCTGTCAAGCTGACTCCAACTCACTTATGTCCAACAGAACAAAATGATGCCTAGCTTGTGTCATCCTCACAATCACCAGCATGTTTGAGTCCATCATACCACTGTGGTTTCAGTCTATCTCATCAAGGGTTTCCTTAACCTTTACTGGCCTCTACTTCACCAAACATAATATCCTCTTCAAATAATCCCTCCTGACAATGTATCCAGAACAAGCAAGTCAGACAAAAGTTCTAATGTGATCTTTAGGCTTTTCAACGGCTAATTTTCGAAGTAGATCACCAGGCCTTTCTTCCTAGTCAGTCTTGGTCTGGAGGCTCTGCTGAAACCTCTCAAACCTGCCCACCACGATGACCATGCTAGTATCTGAAATACCAGCGGGGTAGCTTCTGCCACCACAGTAACACACAAGCTACCACAGGCCACAAACTGACAGGTAGGTGACAATATCAGGTTCCCAAGTATCTTCCTCTATTCTGTAAGTTGTCTTTTCATTTTGTTGATAAAGTCTTTTGACACACACAACTGTTTATTTTTGAAATATCATTTATTAAACAGACTATTCTTTCCTCAACTGGATGGGCTTAGCAATTTGTCAGAAATTAACTGACCATAGATGTTAAGTAATTCCTTTTAACTGAAGATATACGTTGTTTCAAGTTTAGGTGTTTTGAAACCACACTGGAAGGAATACCTTTGTATCACTCAGCAGTTGCTATGTAACAATCAAAATTTTAGCAGCTTAAAACTGCTATCATGTATCATCTTGCAATTTCCTTGGTTCAGAAGGGGGCACATTCTAGCTGAGTATCAGAAGGCTGCAGTCAAAGTGCTGGCTGGGCGTTAATCTTAATCCCCATGCAGCTACTTTCCCACCTGTGCCCAAGAGCTGGGCATTGCAGACAGGCCAGACTGAAGTCTTCCAGGCATCTGGTGGTAAAGTGGGTATCCCAGCTGCAACACAGCCTGTCCTTGAGCCTGGCCAACCCCTGCCCATTCCCAGGGATTCCTACAAAGTTCCTGCACTGTCCAAGAACTGGGTAGAAACCCAAGGAGGCTGGATAGTGAGGAAGTACTGCTTCAAGCCACTTTGGCCTTGTGCCCCAAGTGGTCCCAGAGACCAGAGGCCTAAGGCAGGTGGGACACAGAACCAAATTGGAGACTCTCTACCACCTCCTGCTGAGTAGCAGGGCCAGTGGCTTCACCTCTCAGGCTGCGAGAGAACAGGGAACAGGATGTGGTTTGCAGAGCAGAGACCTCTCTTCCCTAGGGCAGCTGAAGATAAGCCTTGGTGCTGGGCCACCCAGGTTCTGCAGGTACTGCGTATATCCACTGGGCCTGTTTCCTGGGCTAAAGGGGAAGAGGGCTCCCAGCCCCAGGGCTATGAGGGAATTGGATGAGATTGGGGCAGCCCCTGAAACCAAGTACAACTCTTCCCCATGGCCTCAAAGTCCTGGAGATCCCTCTGCTGCCCACCTTCATCGGACTTGAACTCAAGAGGCTCAGTCCTGCCCCAAGGCCTTTGTACCAGCTGTGCTAGTGCCCAACACTGGGCTGCCAGCCTGCCACACAGCCAGACCCTAGCAGTCAGAGTGCCCAGTGTCACCATTCAGAGAGGCCTTCTTGGAAACCCTCAAGCTCCCTTGCAGGCCCTGTTCATCTATTTCCTTCAGGCTAGGGCCCAGCATCTATAGTCTATCTGCGAACAAAGGGATTAGCCCACGAGATTGGGAAGGGCCCTGTTTCCAGAACAACAAAACAGACAAGAGAGACAAGACATGTGGCAACGGGTGAGGCTGAGTATAACCCAGCAAATGGGCATATAACCTACTTCCCCAGGTCTCAGTTTCCTCGTCTGAAAAGCTATCTATTATGGCCCC